GACCCTGGTCTGAAGCTCCTATCACGAAAGAGTTAAGTAAGTCCTCTAGGACTTTGTTTTGTGTCTGAGAGGCCTTTGAGATGGCCAGGGAATGAAGTAAAGAAAGACTGAAGAAACCGCATTAGCCATTTAAAAAAAAAATCCGGGTGGTTTTACATGGTGATTTTATTCCATGTTTAAGGAAGAAATAAGTCCTGAGCTTACATGGATTGTCCTTAACAATCTACCTAACTTTCCCCAATTGATGAACAGTCAAAGGATATGAACAGGCAGTGTTCAGATAAAGAAATTAAAGCCGTCTATAGTCATATGAAAAAATGCTCTAAATCACTATTGATTAGAGAAATGCAAATCAAAACAACTCTGAGGTACCACATCACACCTATCAGGTTGGCTAACGTGACAAAACAGGAAAATGATAAATGCTGGAGAAGATGCTGGGAAAATTGGAACACTAATGCATTGTTGGTGGAGTTGTGAACTGATCCAGCCATTCTGAAGAGCAGTTTGGAACTATGACCAAAGGGCTATAAAACTGTGTATACCCATTGACCCACTAATGCTACTTCTAAGTCTGTATCCCAAAAAGATCATACAAATGGGAAAAGGACCCATATGTATAAAAATATTTATAGCAGCTCTTTGTGTGGTGGCAAAGAATTGGACATTGAGGGAATACACATCAGTTGGGGAATGGCTGAACAAGTTGTAGTATGTGAATGTAATGGAATACTATTATGCTATAAGAAATGATGAGCAAGTGGACTGCAGAAAAACCTGGAAAGACTTACATGAACTGATGCTGAGTGAAGCAAGCAGAATCAGGAGAACATTGCACACAGTAACAGCCACGTTGTATGAGGACTGACTTTAATAGACTTAGCTCTTCCCAGCAATGCAAAGATCTAAGACGACTCCAAAAGACTTATGATGGAAAATGCTGTCCATATCCAGAAAAAGAACTATGGAGTCTACATGCATATCAAAGCATATTATTTACTCTCTCTTTTTTTTATTTCTTCTTTCTCGCAGTTTCTCCCATTCTTCTTTACAACATGACTAATGTGAAAATAGGTTTAATATGAATGTGTATGTTGAGCTGGTATCAATTTATATGCTGTCTTGGGGTTGGGGGAGGGGAGAGATGGGGAGAAAATTTGGAATTCAAAATCTTATGGAAGTGAATGTTGAAAATTAAAAATAAATTTATTATTAAAAAAATATAATCTACCTAACTTCTTCAGTGAGGCAGATATGGTCCTAGCACCTAAACCACTGAAGCATAAAGTAGTTGTTTTTTTTAAAAATTATAAACCATTAACATTAGTCAATATCAAAGTCAAAATACTAAATAAAATATTACAAATATATCCAAGAAGAATCATTATGACCAAATTTTTATATCAAAGTTGCAAAAATGATTCAACATTAGGAAAATTAGCATAATTAAGCATACAATAACAGCATAATAAAATCATATGATTATATCCGTAGGTTCAGAAAAGACCTTTGATAATATAGTACTTATGTTTAAAAAAAAAAAAAAGAAACTAAAAAGCATTGGGATGATCACCTACACAAACTGTGTAGTCATATGCAAGTTTGCAAGCTATTTATGTGATCCAAAGCATTTATCTAAAAATCAAGAGCCAACATTATAAGCAGAAGAGAAATCCTGGAAAATCATAGGTAAACAAAAATTGCCACTCTCTCAACTGTTATTTGATATACTAGTAAGAGTGCTAACTATAACAACAAATCAGTTCACTTTAACAAACATTTATTAAGCACCTTCTGTATTCAAGACACTGTACTGGACACTGGGGTTATGAAGACAAAAATCAAAACAATACTGTCTTTGAAGGAACATACATAGGGGAGTAAAGGGGACTTGGTGTTACCAGATCTCAAATTATATTGCAAAGCAGTCATTGTAGAACTATGTTTTATTAAATTTAAAAAAAAATGAAAAATAGGTCAGAAGGAAATATAATCAGTACAGAAAAGCAAATAAAAAAGGTCCTCTGGTATTTGACAAAGCAAACAATATGAACAAGGTAGTGCAGTTAATAGAGTGCTATTCTTAGAGGCAGGAAAACCTGACTGCGGACCTGAGTTCACATCTTGACTCAAATACTAGTTGTGGGCACCCTATGCAAGTCACCTTTCTCAGCCTAAGTTTTCTCACCTATAACCTGAGGCCTTGGAGGTATCTAAGGTTCCTTCCACCTCTAAATTTATGATACTTTGAACTGAGAAAGGGCCTTTTATTAAAAACTGATGGGAAACTTAGAAAGCTGTGCTGTTTGATGAATTCAACACTTCTAAAATTCACCATTAAAAATTCAAGAACCTATATCCAAAGTGAAAAATGAAGAATATAATAGCCTTTATATTGGATAAGTTAGGGTTGCTAAGTAGTTGATATTTATTTTACTGCTGTTTTCAAAGTAAGTTAGATGTCTGCCTCTAACATGTGAAAAACAAATATTTATATTGTGTGATCAAATCATTACCTTTTCTTTCACTTGCAGTTCCAGAAATTAAGAGAGACTGTTTTAATTATGATGAAGTAAACTGAATTATTAATGTTAGTTAACTAGTTTACAATACCTGACCATTCTGTAAAATTAAGTTTTCTAATCTACATCAAATGACAAGACAAAGCATAACAAATTATATATGAACTATATTATGGACAAGCAGTTATGGAAATTTGTCCATAGCACCTTTTAAAAAAGGTTGATACATGAGTTTGACTTTCATAGTTACTTCCCACACGTTAGAGGCGACTAAGAAATGCACGCATTCTCTATTCCCACAGCCGCCATACTAATACAAGCCTTCATCATGCCCAGACATTGCAATATCCCTTTTTTACATGAAATTTATTATACATATTTTAAAAAGCAAGTAGTCCATAATAGAGATTAACAGTTTCATATGCAGTTGTTATATTCTGTCCTACTTAGTATATGGAAGTGATTATTGTTTGGGGGGAAGGAGTAAGTTCGGGAAAAAATGCAAGACAATGACTGTTGTTTTGGATAAGTTGAGTTTGAGACGTCTGCAGGCTGTCCAGGCTGAAATGTCTTACAGTCCAGTGGAAACACGGGATTAGAGCATAGAAGAGAGATTAGGGCTGGATATGTAGATCTTGGAAAGATTTACTTAGAGATGACAATTGTGTCTGTGGGAACCGATGAGATCATTAAGTGTGCAGAGAAAAAAAAGAAAAGGGGACCTAAAATAGAACTTTGGAGGTACCCTACAGTTAGTGGGCATAACATGGAAAGAGCCAGCAAAGAGGCTGAGAAGCATCATTCTGGCAGAGAAGTAAGCAGTTTGTCCCCCTCCTACCTTCCTAGGCTTCTTGCACTTTCTTACACCTCAGCTCATACTCTGAACTGATTCAGCGTCAGTCCAGTGACTCTGGCCAGCGCCCAGGCAGGAGATATGGTGATGGAAGGCAAGAGGCTGACGCACAGTTGTTCTCCCTTCTCCCACGGGAGGCTGGTGACCTGGCAGGATATGGTGTGACAGAATGACTCTTCTCTTCTTCTCACAGAGGACTGTGAATGTAGAGGGTGGAGTGTCAGTGTCTAACCAGGAGCAGGAATGGGGAAGGGTACACTGGAAGGAAGGTTGGAGAAAGGCTACCTGGCTGCCTCCTCCTGCCGGATCCATTGGATGGGTGGCATATTTCATGTAGATAGAGCACCTCCAAATGGGGCAATCAGGAAGGGCTTTATGTATGGGGTGGCACCTGAGCTGATCTTTGCAGGAAGTTTGGGATTCTAAGGAGTGAAGATGAGGAAGGAATTGTTTCCAGAAATGTGGAACCACATGTGAAAACCCAAAGGCAAGACATGGGATGCCTACTTCAATGAATGACTGGTAGGCCAGTGTGGGCATTCTGGAGAATACAGACATGGGAAAGCTGCATTGAAAAGTAGACCCAAGAACTCAAGGAGCACTTAATGTAGGAACTCTACTTGTATCTCTAAAGTGGTCCCTGAGGTCACTGTCTCTCTATCCAAGAAGTTTATTGATTGATGTTCATGACAAAGATCCTGAGCCATGAGGTAAAAGAAAATTATGTTTGTTGACCTTTGTTTTAGAAGAGAGCCAAGATGCCCATCAAAAATATTCAAAACGGAAAAATTTTGTCATGTGGGGGTAGTGATAAAGTTATCTAGAAAATTCACATGCAACAGTGTATTTATTTATGCTCTCCCCCAAATGAACTGAACGGTAATAGGACATCTTAGTAATTTAACATTAAATATTGTTGCTTAGTTATATTCACTTAATCCTTAGGATTAGCATGTCACAATTTTAGTAGTGAATTCTGTTTTTTTAAAATTACTAAATGAAATTTAATTTAAAACCCTTGAATTGTCAGGAAAAAAATTTTCAAGAAATATCTCACAAGATAAACATAATGAAAACTGTATTTTAAAATCCTTTGTTTCTTTGTCATACCCTCAGAAGGTAGGGACCTTTCATTGCCCAATATTCTAAGTAGCTGACTTCAGCTCTTCTCAAAAGCTACTGACATCCTAATTCTGAGCCATTATACAATGAAAACATTGGGTGTAATTTCCTCCGGTCTACTTTTCTCCGTTACTCTTCTTATTCCAGATCTCTCTGCTGAAGCTCATGATTGTAATTTGCATAAATGAAATTCATATTTATGAGCATAGTTCTTGTAGCAACTGACAGGTGCAAGGTTGTCTACCATGCCAATTTATTGTCTGCTGTGTCATTTAAAAGAAAACCACTCACTGTATCTTGAAGAAGAATAAATGCTGTGGGTTCAGTTAGAACTGACAATTTTTTAAAAGGAGACAACTTTTTTTGAAGCTATTTGATTTTTTTTTCTTTTATAGTATATGGTAATGTTACTGGCTATTGCAGATTATAGAAATACATCTATGTAGTGTGCTGTAATCTAATGGATGTAACATCTTTTTTCTCATTTTCTTCTTGTGTCTCAGGGTATGCATGAGCTGTTAGCACCGATAGTCTTTATCCTACATTGTGACCACCAAGCCTTCCTACATGCCAGTGAAGCAGCGCGGCCGAGGCAAGTCTTTGCTTTTAGTGATCTTCATTAGCCACCGTTCATTGTCCAGCTGTACTTTTACTCCCATTATAATTCCCCTTCAAGTCCTCTATAATGAAGGGAATGGTAATTGAGTACCTTCTAAAAGTGTAAATAAAAAGAACCAGTGAGGTCAGAGTTAATGATGTTCAGTCATTTAAGCCCTGTCTGACTCTTCATGGCCCCATTTGGGGTTTTCTTGGAAAAGATACTGGAGTGGTTTGCATTTGCTTCTCCAGCTCATACTGCAGATGAGGAAATTGAGGCAAATAGAGTTAGGTGACCCAGGGTCACACAACTAGTAAGTGTTAGAGGCTGAATTCAAACTCAAGTCTTCCTGACTAGAGGCCCAGCACTCTATCCACTGCTCCACCTTGCTCCCCCCTTTGTTATAGTAAGTAGTTTTAATCCTAGGTTAGCTTACTAAAATTTCAAGGAAGCCAATCTGATATGCAGACTATTCTGTGAAAATTGACTTATTTCATAATGAATCCTTTCACATTTTTGGTCAGTAGAATCCACATTTCAGCATGAGTTGGAGACGTTTGTTTTCCTTAAAGTTTAGTCTAGAACTTTGAGAATGCCCTTGTTTTCCATCATTATTATAATAAATTTGGAACTGTAGGTGTAGAGAATCCTCTAACTGTGTGCAGAGGTATGTTACATTCTGTCGATAATGCATGGATGAAATAAGAACTTGTGAGTTTCTAGACTGGAACATGACAGGTGGTTGTTGTTACTGAGCGGACATTCAGGGGACACATTAGGAATGTCAAGAACAGGGGCACAGAGGAAAGTAGAAGCGAACAGGCCAATTTGACTCCAAGGGACGATGAGCACTTTGGTGAGCTAATCAGAAGAAATCTGCTCTGTTAAGATAAGGGTGAAAATCTCTGTAAGTGTGTTCACACAAAGAGCTCTAAGTTCAGCTAGGACCTCGACCCCAAGACCCAGTCTTTCATTTCCAGATCTTTCCTACCTCACTTGCTAAAGGAAATGAGCTGTCATCAAGATGAAATGAAATGTTCCCATCTCTGATGGAAAGGAACTGTGACAAAGATAACCCCAAACAGTGAACAATTCAAAGATCATTTAATTTGTTTGGGGAGAGTATTGAATGACTTTGTCACCTGGTAAAACAAAAACATTATGCCAGTGGTAAAGTTAATTTGTATATGCTGAGATAGACCAACTACATGGAGAGAAGGCTCAGCCAAGAATCCCAGCATCTCAGTGATAGAAACAAAGTATGGGGCTTCCCGGGCCACAGGACAGGTCAGCGAGGTGCTGCCGGGGTGCATAGAGCACCAGGCCTGGAGCCAGGAAGACTCATCTTCTTGAGTTCAAATCTGACCTCAGACACTTAATAGCTGTGTGACCTTGGGCAAGTCACTTAATCCTGTGTGCCTCAGTTTCCTCATCTGTAAAATGAGCTGGAGAGAAAATCACAAACCACTTCAGTCTCTGTTCCAAGAAAACCCCAAATAGGGTCACAAAGAGTCAGATACGACTGAAAACAGCCGAAAGGCAAGATACCTGGCTAACTTCCAGCTCTGGGCAAAGAGGGCAAGGGTGAAGGAAGGGGAGAGACGAATGATTGTGAGTAATCTTATAATCCATATCTGACTAATAAAGATGTCGATACAGGATTTCACCAGTTTTTCCCCCATTTGTTAATTTACTAGAAGTTTGCACTTTAAAGTCAGTCTTTATTCTTGGCTCAAACCAGTCTCCTCCTGCTGCTCCCTTTCATGTTCCAACTTCTAGTCCAACTTGATGAATCTGAATCCCCTGTTCTCATTCTTCCCCCTCTTCTTCTTCTTTCTTGGCCAAACTGGAGTAAACCCCTCCTGATTCCCCTTGTCCCTTTCCCTCTCCAGGGCTGATTTCTCTTCCTTCACTTAACATTCTTAAGGCATTTTATTTGACTTTCTCCTTTTTACTTCTCTCATTCTCCTTTATGTCATAACTGTTCCTATGCTTTGACCTTCCTCTGCTCCCACTACGTTATAAGTGTCTTGTCTATGTTTTACATAGCATTCCAGTTTTCTTTTAACCCACTAAGTAACACTAATATTTTTGTTTATCTTCCAGTCAAATATGTTAATATTTTTAATCTTCCTGTGTTTTTTGAAGCTCAACAATTTTAACTTTAGTTTCTACATAAATTTTCTTCTGCTATATCCATTGTAATTATTGGAGTAGTATGTTTACATAAATTGTTTTTGTATGTTGTTGTTTAAAAAATTACGTAAAATATTATGCATAGAATTTATTTCACTTAAAAATAAAGGATAGTGCATTGCCAGAGGGAAAAAATGCTATTTTATCAATAGGCGTTATCCATCAAAAAAGTAAAGTAATACTGTAGACTAGATTGATAAGAAGAGCTGTCACTGATTAATTGCTGTTAAAATACAATAAAAATAGAAGCTATTAAAACAAAATAAATTAATGTTTTGATATTGCAAATTTGACCAGGAACCATTTTTTTCCCTTTTGGACAAACAGTGATAGATTGTAGAGTAATCAATTATTCTAGATCAAGCATAGTCAAGGTATCTATTGTGACATTCAGTAATTTGTTATTTGGAATAATAAGATAGCTACTTCATTGTAGTGCCAACGAGGCAACTAATTTGTTTGTTCTGAATAGAAAGGAAAGACTTTATTTATTCAATAGAATTTCTCTTTTCATTTAAGAGAGCTAATTTTTCTCATTTGAACTATATGGAGGAATATGGTTTTCTTTATAGTGGTAAATGCAGAATACTGACCCCAGATACAAACTTTCATTGTTCATTTGTGTTTTGTTTTGGTTTGTTTTTAAGTGAGGAAATGAAAGCTCTTTTGAACCCTGAGTATCTGGAACATGATGCCTAGTAAGTATAAAAACTGTTTTGACAAATTCTTTTCAATAACTTTTCTACTACGGCAATTGATAACCATTTTCCCCTTCCATTTTTAGTGCAATGTTTTCACACCTTATGGAAACTGCTGAACCCTGGTTTTCGACTTTTGAGCATGATGGTCAAAAGGTGAATTCCTTAAAAAATCTTTCCTCTATTCCTTTCCCCTTGATTCCCGTTATAAACTTTGAGGGGTGACCTAAAGTGCACGGGGGGTTAATAAGCAAGCTTGATGTTCTCCCAAAATTAATACAGCAAAAGAAATACCTGAATCATCAATATCCATGTGATGTTTAGAAAAGACAGTGACCAAACAAACATAGTGGATGTCCGTGTACAGTATAAAGATTTGAGTGGCATAGAGAATAATTACTTGTGTTACAGATTTCCATGGGGAAAAAATAGAATGTATGGTAATTATCTATGTTTCATTGCATTTTGGCGAATCCTTATTCTCCTTAAGCTTACTCCTGGTGGAATGGGGAGAGACTTTGAGCGGGGAGGCCAGTTAGGAGGCCACAACATAGATCGTCAGCTTAGGTAGTTGGTGTCCGTGAACTTGTAATTATTTCTTTTTCTTTCTTTATACATCTCTATTCCAGTTTACTTTGGTTCCCTTTGGCATCTGGCACAGTACCTGTGAGATTGTAGGCACTTAATACATGCTTACACAGATTTGTCTACTTAATTTATGAATTGGAACACATTTATTTGCATCATTCTCCTCTGAGTTAATACGGTAATTTTGCTGAACTAGAATGTTATGCCATCACTAATAGTCATAGTCTGATACATGTATCATCAATATCCCTTACTATTTATTTTGTAATTTAGCACATATAACCAACTCTGAAAAGCGTCGGGTCAATTAATTAGTACTACACTAGTTGATTATTAGCAGTTAGAGCAAATGGTATACTGCTGCTTATTTCAATTTATATTTTGATTTGCATTCTAGTTTGATATTATGTGTTAGTCTGTCTTAGCCATCTTAAGCAGTTGAAAATGTTGGGTCAGGTCATTGGATCATATCAGTCAATCAATATTTATTAAGTATCTACTGTATGACAGACGTTATGCAAAGTAGTAAGGGTAGAAAAAAAAAACCAGTTCCTGCCTTCAAAGGAACCAACATTCCCTCTCAGGCAACATCATGTAGATCATCTCCAAGTAGACAAGGACTCTCTACTCTCTATGATACATATAAGACAGTGGAGAGAGGGAGGGTGCTCCCAGTTGAGAGGATCAGGAAAGGATTCCTCTCTAGAGGTGCTGCTGAATTTCGCTGAACCTTGAAGGGCGTAGAGCATTAGCAGTGGTGGAGGTGGGGAGGAAGAGCATTCCAGGCATAGGAAATAGCCAGGGCAAAGTGCTGGAGACTAGAGATGAGAGGTCATGTGGGAGAAGCAGCAAGAAGAAGGGTTCTGTGAGTCAAAGAAAGAGTTCATATGTTATCCTGAGGCAAGTTGGAAGCTATTGGCATTGATAGAGCAAAGGAGTGACAAGGTCAGGCTTGTGATTAAGGAAAATCACGTGAACGACAGGGTGGAGGATGGCCTGGAATGGACAGAGACTTTAAGCAGAGACCAGTGAGGGCACCATAAAATGGATCCTCAGCTCGGGTGGCTGGTGTCCACGAACTTGGACGTTTTGCTTTTTCTTTTATTTATACATCTGTATATCAGTTTAATTTTGTGTCCTTTGTAATACTTTGTGTCATTTAAAAACAGTATTCTGAGGAGGAGTCCATAGGTTTCAGCGGAAAGGGGGCCAAGACCCAAGATTAAGAGCCTCTGCTACAGAGGCTTATCTAAAAGTACGTGGATGGGAAACCGGTCATCCAGTTGGGCGTGAGTTGAGCCCAGAGTTGACCTGGAAGATGAGAGTAACCTGGATTTCTTGGGGAAAGCTGCAAAGCTTTACTGACCCTAAACTTCCCATGGAACAAAAGTCCCAGCTTTTCAATAGCAGCGTTTTGCCAACCTTGCTTGATGCCAGGGAGCCATGGTGAGTGTGAACAAACTGTGTTATGAGACAGCTGGGAAACACAGAGGAAGAACAAGAGTAAAAGGTGTCATGCAGGGATGGTAAGATAAGGAGAGACGGTCAGTGACATGGGCAGCCTCAGTGTTGGTGCCTTCTCTGTGTCGGGTCTCAGGCACGTCAGATGGACCGCCTGTGACCCTCGTGGGGAGGATGCAGACAAGCATCACACAGGATGGCCAGGTGTGAACTGGCTGTGGTCCATTTCATCCTGAATCGATGACCTCACAAAAACATTTAGATGTTAGGGTGTCATAAACGTTGGGATCCTTGATAGCACCAGAAGGAACCTTAGACATCATCTAGTCCTGTGGAGTCTTCAGTTGGGGGTACTCTCAGCAGGTCACTTTAAGTCCAGGTTGTGGTACCTGTGTTATCTTCTTGGCAGGCAGTTTAAAACTGATGCAGGTAGCTTGGGAAAAGCTCAGCTGAGTGAATTTTAACACATTAGTCTTCTGGTGATCAGCACTTTAAGTGGTCACTTCTAATATAAAATTGATCCTTCTCAAGGGAATTCGTGTTTTAATATTTGAGTGTTACATAAAGTGGAAAACGCTCTTATTTTTTTAATGATGCCTAGCATAACTTGATAGTGATATTCATGTTGGGCAAATGGACCTAGAAGGTATATGATGTCTATGTAATGTGAATGACTCACAACAAACTTATTTCTAGGAAAATAGATATACCTATTTCTTTTCTTTTTTTTTCTTAAAGGCTTAAGTTTTAGCTTTAAAAAGCAAAATGTCAATGATATCACTACTACTAAAGGCGCAAAATCAAATTTGGCCATGCATGCCTTAAATGTCTGTGCATATTTAGTATGGTAATGTACATGTTTTTTTTTTTAAAAAATCTAGACCCATAATTTCTTATTTTAAAGACCTTCTGGCATAAAAACTCCTACCAATTCTACCAGTTTCAGCAACCCCTTACTGACTTAGAATACTGGAGAATTGCCTGATTTTCTGATAGATGAAATAATTTGCTTGTGGTCACATAGCTGATACGTGATGTTAGAGGCAGGATTCGTGCCAGATCTTCCTAACTCTATAAGGCTGACCCTCTCTAGCTTCCATGCCAGGCCTATTCTCATTGTATACACTGTGTTGTCAAATTATTTTAAGTGACTAACACAGTGAAAGCAGTCCCTTTATTGGAAGCAATCAAGTGCAATTCCTAAACAGTCATATTAATTCCTTAGAAAAGTCACCATGTACGTTTCCTACAAAAAGGAATATGTGGTAAAATGCTTATTGGTTTCCCATTTAATGAATCTACTCCTTTCTCTTTCAAAGTTCGTACAGATAAACATAGTTGGGCTTTTCCCATTCAATTATTCTGTTTCTGTATGACAGAGACAATGTAGATACACATTTCACATTTCAGGGCCTGTGAGTATTTATTGAGTAGCAGCTTCTAAGGGCGTGGCAGTCTTCTAGATGCAGTTACGTGCTCTACCCTCTGGGAGCTTTCTTTCCAGTGATAGGTATCTGACAATGGAGTAAGATAAATTTAGGCCTAGAGGTTTATCTTCTAAAGAAAACAAACCACTCACACAAATGACATCGTGTTCTTATTATGATAATTATTCTTAAGTTTGAAAATCTGTTTCTTGGGATTCTTACCTTTAAACATTTCATTAAATACATTTATACTGTTTGCAAATAGTAAGTTTCATGGTTCTTTTTATAGTTAAAGATCTCCCCCTTTCAATGTCTGAAGATATTTATAATTGACAGATGCAAATAACATTCTTTGTTATGAAAAGAAATCCTGGAGGTAAGGGAATATTCTGCATCACATTTATCTTCCATTATGATTTCAATGGAAGATAAGCTAAGCTGTTTAGCATGTAAGTGATCATCAGCATTACTTTCTACTTTCTTAAATTTAAGAGATTTTTGTCTTAAGTATCCTGAGCAAAGGGAAAATATTTTTAATGTGCAGTTTATGCCTGCAGTCTTTAATAGACCACACAAGAGCTCCTATCAAGGATCAGAATAATAGACTACACATGCTATTGATTTAATGACAACTCATACTACTCATACTAGAAATTGATCTGATTTCATTAAACTAAACATTTTTAACAGGTTCGTTCAGGATAGATTCCTGCCCAAGAATTCCAAATTAAAGATCATATTTCCTACAGAGAGAGAGAATTTATCCAAGTCTTCTAAAAATGATTGTCTTCTGTTTTTTGGTGTAATTGATAAAAATCATATCTAGGGGGAAATAATGCTTCAGGCTGCCTGGCACAGACCTACATATATACTTCTGTCTTGCATCTAAACTATAAGATCAAAATATGTAAAATCATCATGTGACCACTTTTTTTCAATTTGCTTTTAAATTGCTTTCTTGAAGAGAGTTTGACTTCTTAGAGCAGAGGTATCAAACAGAGGGCCCACAACATTCTTGGATGTGACCCTGAACATGATTAAAATATAAATAGGAAAATATTTTATGAAATAAAAATACAATAAAACAAAGTCAATAATATGCATCCTAAGGGGATCCTTATGTATGGTTTAGTGGCTCCTGTTTCTTTCTAATGTCGTAGGATAAACACTAGGCTCTAAAATACTAAATGCTATTTTAAGATGGATATAAATTATCAAATGTTAATTCAGGTAGACGTAAGTGGAGGACCATTTAAAAAATTTTTTTCTATTTAAGACAAGTGCTAAAACTTAAATACATAATAAGAAAAGAAAAAGAAACATATAAAATGCAAAATAAGAAAAGAAAAAAATGTCACGTGCACAGCAGAATATAGGAGAGGATTCAGGATGTATAGCAATAACTTTTCATTTCAAGAAAGCCTATATATTGAATATTGCACATTATGTTGAAAGCTGTCCATCTTTTCTTTGTTTTCTTGTAGGTTTTCTTTTGTTCTCTGCATTACACAGTACATTTTTTACTTTGTTCTTTTTTCCCCCTTCCTCTCCTCCCCCCAAGCCGCCACCCTGAGGCTACAATTAAGCATGGATATATTTATATGTAGATATGGATATATACATGCACGTGTACATACATACACGTGTACATACATACACATACATATATACATACATACA